CAACAGCACAACAACAGAGAGGAAACAAACAAGGACATCTAATCACCTCTCAACAAAAGATTGCTCCAGGCACTGCCAGGCCATCAAATGCTAATCAAGGTGGTCAGTTGAAACATTCACACCTAGATCCAACAGACAAGAGTCCTTTGTCCCACCCCTCATCCTCTTGCAGGAATAAATGAGCCAGCAGCATCCGGCTACTCGTTCTAACATTGCTCCCAAATAAATGTATCCTCCTCACCGCAAGGAAAACACAACTTCTGGTCATTCCACAGATATATAAACCCTTTTTCCTAGTTCCAAGAGACCTCACTCCAACAGCACAACAACAGAGAGGAAACAAACAAGGACATCTAATCACCTCTCAACAAAAGATTGCTCCAGGCACTGCCAGGCCATCAAATGCTAATCAAGGTGGTCAGTTGAAACATTCACACCTAGCTCCAACAGACAAGAGTTCTTTCTCCCACCCTGGTCATTTCACAGATATATAAACCCCTTTTCCTAGTTCCAACAGACCTTACTACCTCTGAGGATGCTTGCCATAGTTTCAGGCAAAACTTCATGAGAGAATGCCTCTAGACCATGGCCATATAGCCCGAAAAAACCTACAACAACCTAACTTCCACATTCTTCACAAAGTATGCAGAATGCCAACAACAAAATCAAAGATACACTGGTCCCGTCAAAGTTGAGCACAACCTCGTTGCCATAAGGGATTCCAATCTCCTTCCAAAAATAGACTCTTTGTTTTCATAGAATCCTAGAGTTGGAAGAGACCACATATGCCATCTAGTCCAACCCCATTCTGCCAAGAAGCAGGAAAATTACATTCAAAGCACCCCCAACAGATGGCCATCCAGCTTCTGTTTAAAAACTTCCAAAGAAGGAGCCTCCACCACCCTCCGGGGCAGAGAGTTCCAATGCTGAACGGCTCTCACAGTCAGGAAGTTCTTCCTATGACTTCCCCTCACATAGTTATCCATGGCTCTCATCATGTCTCCTCTCAGTCTTCTCTTCTGCAGGCTAAACATGCTCAGCTCTTTAAGCCACACCTCATAGGGCTTGTTCTCCAGACCCTTGATCATTTTAGTTGCCCTCCTCTGGACACATTCCAGCTTCTAAACATAGATCACAGAATCACAGAATCATAGAATCCTAGAGTTTGAAGAGACCTCAAGGGCCATCCAGTCCAACCCCATTCTGCCAAGAAGTTGGAAAATTACATTCAAAGCACCCCCAACAAGTGGCCATACAGCCTCTGTTTCAAAGCCTCCAAAGAAGGAGCCTCCACCACACTCCAGGGCAGAGAGTTCCACTGTTGAACAGCTCTCACAGTCAGGAAGTTAGAATCATAGAATCCTAGAGTTGAAAGAGATCCCGTGGGCCATCCAGTCCAACCCCATTCTGCCAAGAAGCAGGAAAATTACATTCAAAGCACCCCCAACAGATGGTCATCCAGCCTCTGTTTAAAAGCCTCCAAAGAAAGAGCCTCCACCACATTCTGGGGTGGAGAGTTCCACTGCTAAACAGCTCTCACAGTCAGGAAGTTAGAATTATAGAATCATAGAACTGGAAGAGACCTCATGGGCCATCCAGTCCAACCCCACTCTGCAAAGAAGCAGGAAAATTGCATTCAAAGCACCCCCGATAGATGGCCATCCAGCCAAAGTTTAAAAGCCTCTGCTTAAAAGTCTCCAAAGAAGGAGCCTCTACTACACTCCAGGGCAGTGAGTTCCACTGCTGAACAGCTCCCATAGTCAGGAAGTTCTTCCTAATGTTCAGGTGGAATCTCCTTTCTTGTAGTTTGAAGTCATGGTCCACATCGTAGTCTCCAGGGTGGCAGCAAACAAGATTGCTCCCTCCTCCCTATGACTTCCCCTCATATATTTATCCATGACCCTCATCATGTCTCCTCTCAGTCTTCTCTTCTGCAGGCTAAAGATGCCCAGCTCTTTAAGCCACTCCTCATAGGGCTTGTTCTCCAGACCCTTGATCTTTTTAGTCATTGATTTTTTCTGTGCATATCAAACAGAATATAATCTTGCTCCCAACTGAGGTGTCATTTTAGTTTCAGTAGTTTGATGAATGTGTAGATAACTGTTGCTCACACTATTAGAGATCCCTGGATTGTTTGGGGAATTCAAGTACCTAATGCACCTTAAATACATGACATTTTAAGGCATACCCTAAGAGATATTTTGACCTAAAGAGTCAAGAGGATTACAGACTGGAAGTAGACGGCATGTTGGCCTTTGTTGTTATGAAAATAAAGATATCCTCCTCCCCTTTGTGTATTGAGAGTTCTTCCTCCTGTCTCAAGAGGGAACTTCTTTGTGCCAAGGTAAAAATAAAGCTGTTCCCCATTATTTGCACCCTGCAGGGGTATAATTTAGAATAAACGCCATGTTTTTGTTCCTCTGAATGTAAACATAACTGCAATTTTCCTGCTCCTCGAGTGCTGCAGTGGGCAGCATGTGGCTATGCTGAGATATCAAGTCAGACTGTTGCCAAGAACAATCTCAGAAGGTGGTGGGGAAGGGGCTACGAGTGGGGCAGAAAAGTGGGAGAAGGTCTAAGAGAGGAGGGAAAGAGGAAGGTTGTCAGATTGAAAGAGAGGGAGGAAAAGAAGTGGCGAAGAAAAAGTATCAGAGAGAGAGAGAGAGAGAGAGAGAGAGAGAGGAGAATAGGAGCATGTCAGAAAGAGAGCTGGAAGGGATGTTGGTGACACCAAAAGGTGTCAAAAGAGAGTAGTAGAAAGAAAAAGAATAGAAAGAAAGAGGGAAAGAGAAAGGAGAAAACTGGGAGGGAAAGATATAGATCAATATTTCTTAACCTGGGGGTCAGGACCCCTGGGGGGTCGTGAGAGGGTGTCAGAAGGGTTGCCAAAAACCATGAGAAAACACAGGATTTTCTGTAGGTCATGGGGATTCTGTGTGGGAAGTTTGGTCCAATTTGGTAGGGTTTGTAGGTGAACTACAAATCCCTGCAACTACAACTCCCAAATGTCAAGGTCTATTTCCCCCAAACGGCTCTCACAGTCAGGAAGTTCTTCCTATGACTTCCCCTCACATGGCTCCCATCATGTCTCCTCTCAGTCTTCTCTTCAGCAGGCGAAACATGCTCAGCTCTTTAAGCCGCACCTCATAGGGCTTGTTCTCCAGACCCTTGATCATTTTAGTTGCCCTCCTCTGGACACATTCCAGCTTGTCAACATAGATCACAGAATCATAGAAACATAGAATCCTAGAGTTGGAAGAGACCTCATGGGCCATCCAGTCCAACCCAATTTGGGCATGTTAAGCATTCGTGCTAAGTTTGGTTCAGATCAATCGTTAGTTTGAGTCCAAAGTGCTCTCCGAATGTAGGTGAACTACAACTCCAAAACTCAAGTTCAATGCTCACCAAACCACTCCAGTATTTTCTGTTGGTCATGGGAGTTCTGTGTGTTGAGTTTGGTTCAATGCCATCATTGGTGGAGTTCAGAATACTCTTTGATTGTAGGTGAACTGTAAATCCCTGCAACTGCAACTCCCAAATGTCAAGGTCTATTTTCCCCAAACTCCACCAGTGTTCATATTTGGGCATATTGAGCATTCATGCCAAGTTTGGTCCAGAGCCATTGTTATTTGAGTCCACAGTGCTCTCTGGATGTAGGTGAAGTACAACTCCAAAATGGTTCGATTCCATTGTTGGTGGAGTTCAGAATGCTCTTTGATTGTAACAGGTTAACTATAAATCCCTGCAACTGCAACTCCCAAATGTCAAGTCCATTTTCCCCAAACTCCACTATTGTTCACATTTGGGCATAAGCATTTGTGCTAAGTTTGGTACAGATCCATCGTTGCTTGAGTCCACAGTGCTCTCTGGATGTAGGTGAACTACAACCCCAAAAGATCCATCATTGTTTAAGTCCACAGTGCTCTCTGGATGTAGGTGAACCACAACTCCAAAACTCAAGGCCAATGCCCACCCAACCCTTGCAGTATTTTCTGTTGGTCATGGGAGTTCTGTGTGCCAAGTTTGGTTCAATTCCATTGTTGGTGGAGTTCAGAATGTTCTTTGATTGTAGGTAAACTATAAATCCCAGCAACTACAAATCCCAAATGAGAAAACCAATCCTCCTCTAGTCCCACCAGCATTCAAATTTGGGCGTATGAAATATCTGTGCCAAATTTAGTCCAGTGAATGAAAATACATCCTGCATATCAGATATTTATGTTATGATTCATAACAGTGGTAAAGTTACAGTAATGAAGTAGCAACGAAAATAATGTTATGGTTGGGGGTCACCACAACATGAGGAACTATATTAAGGGGTCACAGCATTAGGAAGGTTGAGAACCACTGATATAGATAAAGAAGCAGGCTTCCTTCTCCCTTTAGGTTTGTTCTCTGCTAGCTTCAAAATCGTGAGCCCCAACAAGTTGGTACAAGTAGAGAACTCCCAATTTCAGACCTCACAACCTCTGAGGATGCTTGCCATAGATGTAGGCGAAATGTCAGGAGAGAATGCTTCTAGAACATGGCCATATACCCTGAAAGACCTACAACAACCTACTTCCAATTTCGTCACAATCAAGGACCTACATTCCTCCTTTGGAAGGTTAAATGAATACACAAGGATGCTATTTAAGAAAGCATCCAAAGTGGTGGTGTTATGTGTCTCCAAGTCTCAATTCCAAGGGTTTCTTTGGCAAGAGTTATCCAGAGGAGACTTGCCATTGGTTTCCTCTATAGCTCAGAGAGTTGCCCGAGGAGGTATCCATGGCTAGCTAGGGATTTGCACCATAATCTCCCAGGCTCTTCATCCAACACTCACGTAACTACACCATGCAACAAATGCATGCCCATCAAGCTGAGTATAGTAAAGTCTGTTGGGCACATACTCTACGAATTCACAAAGGAATAATGGATCCTGTCTGTGCCAAGACTGTGTCTACTCCACTTGTAAATGCAGAACCCACTGATAGGAAGAATAAAATTTGAGGCACACTTACACTGATCTTCGTTGCATCCTTATTTGGTACCTGGAAAGGAAAAGAAAGGGAACACAAATTAAACAGGGGCTTCTGTAGCGGAGGAAATGCATCACATATGCCTTCGTACACACAGCCATTGAGCAGCTATAATAACAACAATAATAATAACAACAATAATAATAATAATAATAATAAGGAAGCAGGTGAAACAATAGATCACATCCTCAGCTGTTGCAAGAAGACTGTGCAGACATATTACAAGCAGGGGCACAACACCGTTGCTCAGAAGATTCATTGGAACTTGTGCCACAAATACCATCTGCCTGGCACAAATAACTAGTGGGATCACAAGCTTGTAAAAGTTACAGAAAATGAACACATCAAACTCGTCTGGGACTTCCAAATTCAGACTGACAGAGTTTTAGAGCACAAGACTCATGACCTCACGATCGTGTTAAAAAACAAAGTATGGATCGTCGATGTTGCTATTCTAGGCGATAGCAGGATTGAAGAGAAACAACTGGAAAAGATGACATGATATGAGGATTTAAAGATCAAACTGCAAAGACTCTGGCAGAAGCCAGTCAAGGTGGTCCCAGTATTGATCGGCACACTGGGTGCAGTGCCTCAAGACCTTGGCCTGCACTTAAGCACAATTGGTGCTGACAAAATTACCATCTGCCAGCTGCAAAAGGCCACCTTACTGGGATCTGCATGCAATATTCGCTGATACATCAGACAGTCCTAGATCCATTCTACCTATTCTCCAAAATATCTATCCATTTCACCCGGTCATGCCCAGCTTTTTAAATTTTAACCTTTACATCTGGCCCTGACATCAGTTTTTAATTGCGTCATGTTGTTATTGTTAATGTTATTGCTTGAGTTTTATTTACTGCTGTATTGTTGTCTTGTTTATTGTTGCATTGGGTCTTGGCCTACTGTAAACTGCACTGAGTCCTTCGGGAGATGGTAGTGGGGTACAAATAAAGGATTATTATTATTATTATTATTATTATTATTATTATTATTATCCAATATTTGTTTGTTTGTTTATTTATATATTTATTTACTGTATTTATATACCACCTTTCTCAGCTCAAAGGCGACTCAAGGTGGTTTACAATTCGCATAAATAAAACAGCCAGCAGAGTTACCTTTCTGCTGTGGACTCTTCTTATTGTGTTTCAAATAATAATAATAATAATAATAATAATAATAATAATAATAATAATCCAAGGTGACAGCAGAATTGAAGAGAAACAACAGGAAAATCTGACACGATATGAGGATTTAAAGATCGAACTGCAAAGACTTTGGCACAAGCAAGTCAAGGTGGTCCCAGTGGTGATTGGCACACTGGGTGCAGTGCCTCAAGACCTTGGCCTGCACTTGAACACAATCGGTGCTGACAAGATTACCATCTGCCAGCTGCAAAAGGCCACCCTACTTGGATCTGCAGTCATTATTCACCGATACATCACACAATCCTAGACACTTGGGAAGTGTCCGACGTGTGATCAAATATTTGTTTATTTATTTATTTATTTGCCGTATTTATATACCACCTTTCTCAGCTCAAAGGCGACTCAAGGTGGTTTACAATTCACATAAATAAAACAGCCAGCAGAATTACCTTGTCTGCTGTGGACTCTTCTTATTGTGTTTCAAATAATAATAATAATAATAATAATAATAATAATAATCAGAGGTGACAGCAGAATTGAAGAGAAACAACTGGAAAAGAAGACACAATAAGATCGAACTGAAAGACTCTGGCACAAGCCAGTCAAGGTGATTGGCACACTGGGTGCAGTGCCTGAAGACCTTGGCCTGCACTTAAACACAATCGGCGCTGACAAAATTACCATCTGGCAGCTGCAGAAGGCCACCTTACTGGGATCTGCACGCATTATCCCACCTTACTGGGATCTGCACGATACATCACAGTCCTAGACACTTGGGAAGTGTCGGACCTGTGATCCAATACAACAGCCAACAAAGTGATTTTGTTTGCTGTGGACTCATCTTGTTGTGTTTCAAACTATTATTATTATTATTATTATTATTATTATTATTATTATTATTATTATTGGGTGACAGTCGCATTGAGGACAAACAACAGGAAAAACTCAGCTGCTATCAAGACCTTAAAATCGAACTGCAAAGATTCTGGCATCAACCAGTCCAGGTGGTCCCAGTGGTGACGGGCATACTGGGTGCCGTGCCAAAAGATCTCAGTTGGGATTTGGAAACAATAAACATCAACAAAATCATGATCTGTCAACTGCAAAAAGACTACCTTACTTGGATCTGCACGCACTATCAACTGCAAAAGGCCACTTGCAAAAGGCACGCATCATTCGAAAATACATCACACAGTCCTAGACGCTTGGGAAGTGTTCAACTTCTGATTTTGTGATACGAAATCCAGCATATAGATCTCGTTTGCTGTGACATACTGTGCTTTTGTGTCAATAATAATAATAATAATAATAATAATAATAATAATCTTTATTTATACCCCGCCACCATCTCCCCAAAGGGGACTCAGGATAGCTAACATGAGACCAAGCCCAAAGATACAATACAGCAAAATAAAATACAGAATGCAGACAACAAAAAATTACACCGTACAGTAGCAAAATAAAATAAATAAAACAAATTAACACAATATAAAATCGAACAGAATGGGCAGGCCAAACGGACGAGGTAAAATGATAAAATCCTGGATGAGGTAGGAAAGAAAATATGTAATTGAGGGGAACCCAAAAAGAATAAACGGTGGGGTAGGCTTTCAGTTTAGGATGGGGGAAAGTGCATCATAGGGGCAACACTATAGATCAGTGTTTCTCAACCTGGGGGTCGGGACCCCTAGGGGGGTCACGAGGGGGTGACAGAGGGGTCGCCAAAGACAATTAGAAAACACAGTATTTTCTGTTGGTCGTGGGGCTTCCGCGTGGGAAGTTTGGCCCAATTCAACCATTGGTGGAGTTCAGAATGCTCTTTGATTATAGGTGAACTATAAATCCCAGTCACTACAACTCCCAAATGTCAAGGTCTATCTTCCCCAAACTGCACCAGTGTCCACATTTGGTCACACTGAGTATTCATGCCAAGTTTGGTCCAGATGCATCAGTGCTCTCTGGATGTAGGTAAACTATAACTCCAAAACTCAAGGTCAATGCCCACCACACTCTTCCAGAATTTGTTGGTGGTCACGGGAGCTCTGTGTCCCAAGTTCCGCGTTGGAAGTTTGGCCCAATTCAATCATTGGTGGAGTTCAGAATGCTCTTTGATATTGTAGGTGGACTATAAATCCCAGCCACTACAACTCCCAAATGTCAAGGTCTATCTTCCCCAAACTGCACCAGTGTCCACATTTGGTCACATTGAGTATTTATGCCAAGTTTGGTCCAGATGCATCAGTGCTCTCTGGATGTAGGTAAACTATAACTCCAAAACCCAAGGTCAATGCCCACCGCACTCTTCCAGAATTTGTTGGTGATCACGGGAGCTCTGTGTCTCAAGTTCCGCGTTGGAAGTTTGGCCCAATTCAATCATTGGTGGAGTTCAGAATGCTCTTTGATTATAGGTGAACTATAAATCCCAGCAACTACAACTCCCAAATGACAAAATCAATCCTCCCCTCAATCCCACCAGTATTCAAATTTGGGCGTATCGAATATTTGTGCCAAATGAATGAAAATACATCCTGCATATTGGATATTTACAAGATGATTCATAACAGGAGCAAAATTATAGTTGTGAAGTAGCAATGAAAATAGTGTTATGGTTGGGGGTCACCACCACATAAGGAATTGTATTAAGGCAGTGGTTCTCAACCTTTCCAATGCCGCGACCCCTTAATACAGCTTCTCATGTGGTGGCGACCCCAACCATAAAATTACTTTCGTTGCTACTTTGCTATCGTTATGAATCGTAATGTAAATATCTGATATGCAGGGTGTGTTTTCATTCACTGGATCAATCTGGGCACAAATACCCGATACACCCAAATCTGAATACTGCTGGGAGTTGTAGTTTCTGGGATTTATAGTTCAGCTACAATTAAAGAGCATCCTGTATTCCACTAATATGGAACTGAACCAAATTTGGCACACATAACTCCCATGAACAAGAGAAAATACTGGCACGGTTTGGTGGGCATTGACCTTGAGTTTGGGAGTTGTAATTCACCTACATCCAGAGGACTCAAACAATGGTGGATCTGGACCAAACTTGGCATGAATACTCCATATGCCCAAATGTGAACACTGGTGGAGTTTGGGAAAAATAGACATTGACCTTTGGGATTTGTAATTACTGGGATTTATAGTTTGTGTACAATCAAAGAGTTTTCTGAACTCCACCAACAATAGAATTGGGCCAAACTTGACACACAGAACCCCCTTGACCAACAGAAAATACTGTGTTTTCTGATGGTCTTCAGTGACCCCTCTGATGTCCCCTCACGACCCCCCCAGGGGCCCCGACCCCCAGGTTGAGAAACGTTGTATTAAGGGGTCACGGCATTAGAAAGGTTGAGAACCACTGCTATAGATGGATAAATGGTCACTTTCCAGCTATGTGTCCTCGTTGCAAAGTTGCATGTTGCAATGTGAACAGGGTCAATGGGACAACGCCTTGCCTTGATGGAGGATGCCCTCCATTGTTTCTTAACTCACAGGGTGAGATATTTGGGTGAAATGCAGCTTGGTGTAAGTGGCTGCAACCCAGCTATTGTATCTGTTGCTCAGACAGCAATAGCAGGAGGCACGAACGGGGCCGTGAGTCAGTTAATTGATAATACTGCAAACAGTTAAGGTTCCAAAGGGAGCTGTGAAATGAGAAATAGCAATGAAGGCAGTTAGGAAAGAGATGTCTTTAGACACAGAACTGGATTATGATCTATCGTTCGTTCTTTATTCCTGTTTCTGCTACAGTCTACCCTTCAAACACACAATTAAGCAGGTAGGCTGCAAATCGTTCGAGACATTTGCAAAGAGGAACGTGGTCCAGCTTTTGCCTGTTGAGATGTTTAGACA